CGTGTGAGTTGCCAAGATGTTAGAATTTAGATCAATGTACTAATTGGAATTTTTAAGTGTTTACCGCCAAACAACGTATGTCCTACACCTTGACTATTCATAACGTTTCAAACAATTTTGGTTTAGACTATAAAAGCTAATTAAAGTAAATGGTAAGACAATAAATAGTTAAAAGTTAGAAGATAAGTTAAAAGGATATAACAAAGATGCACTAAAACTATACTAAGTATAAAGGTGAAGAGTTGGTTAGAGCGTGTATCGAGGAAGGCTATAAAACATCGCCCTGTGACTAATACAAGTGAAGATATAGCAGAAAATGTGAAAAAAATTGGGAAAACTATTTACCGAGTTACCGAGGCGTACACTGCAAAAACGGTTCAAGATGCCCAAAAAATACGTATGAAAGAATGATTCCTCTTTAAATGATCTAAAAAAAATGTCCCCGACGCTATATGTCTAACTTTTAGGATTAACTTGTAAGAACGACGGGAAGGGACGCGACCGACGCCGTGGGTAACAGCATAAGTCTATAAAGATAAAGGGGTCTACAAAAACGATTTGGATGACCAAAATAAATATTTTAGGATCGCTGGCAAGCAGATTCATATAAATTTATGATAGATATAATTTTTTTTATGGACTATGTAAGACATAGTGTTAATATACGCCTTTAATTTTTCTTTTTTTACAAAATTTTCCCCCCCCCCATTTTGACCTCGATTGATTACACGCCAAGTAGTGGTGGCTTGTATATAACAGAAATGGAATGAAAGAAGAAATAAGAAATATTTTTTTACCAGAGTTCGATTATCTCACACAGTTGTTTACGGACATAGTATAAGGCATTTTAATCTAACCTAACTACAAACTTTTTTACTTTTTAACTAACGATAGTAAACAGCTCTATAAATACTGTTTATAGTTTACGCGAGTAGTAAACATTTAAATAAAACACTTTACCGGTTTAAAACGCGATATATTAGTTAGTTATTAGTCTCCCCGTGACCACGGCTGCTGCAAAGCATCCAAAACGTCGGACCGAAGTTAAAAATAATTTTCAAATAAGTTTAACTAATATATCGCGTTTTAAACCGTTAAAGTGTTTTATTTAAAAGCTCTATAAATTCTTAAATAACACCAAAATATGAATCAATTCTACTAAGAACTAAATGGAAATATCTTCAAAGTAATTTCACCTGCCATAAATAATTTTTCTTCTCTTTTCGTACAGAACCTTCTTAATAAAAGAGTTACATGATCTGGATCTTATAAATAGATTTTCTAAGGAAAATCTAACGAGATTACAGTAACTAAGACTATTATGCATTCTATTAGACACAAAGAAACCTTACTTTTATTCTGCACTTGCCAACGGCGTTGCCTCAAAGAGTCAAACGACCTACTAATAATCTAATTTTCTACTTAAAGAAGAATACAAAGGTAAAATCAAGCACAGATCGGACCATTCTTAGAATAGAGAATTACGTATTAAGAACTTTTTTTTGTATTAGTTTTTATGAAATTTAATTTAATGCCGCACTAAATTTTTCCATTTTCAGTTGAAATATAATAATTATAGTCATTTACTAATGCGTAATACGGAGATAAATTATGTTTAATTTATTATGTCACATTATAATTACATTAGGTAATTTAAGATTTTTTTTTAATGAAACACTTTAAAGTGTCTCCCCGTGAACACGGCAAAGCTGAAATGCCGTAGTTAAAATAATTATTCAAATAAGTTTAACAAAAATATATCGCGTTTTAAACCGTTAAAGTGTTTTTTTAATGTGTACTACTCGCGTGAATTACAGACAGTATTTAAATATTTCATGTATTGTATAGATGGTTATTTTTTTACCTTTGAAATAATAAACCAGGAAAATGACTTGAACTCATTTATCAAGTCACAGTTTTATGTAACCAGTAATGGAAATTTTTAATAATCGCAATTCTCGTCCGAGGCTGCCAGTCTTTAAAACAATTTAAAGAACAATATGCTGTTTTGTTGTAATTTCAAAACATTGCACAAGTAATCAGTAATGATTACTTACCCACATGTAAGTAGATTACATTTTCCAAGTAGGCTATGGAATTTTCCAAACGAAACTTAGTAGGTAGTATAAAGTTACGCATGTTGATAAAATTATTGATAAAGCAATTTTTCATGCGACACTTTTGATCGATAAAATGATAGACATTAAAAGGTATATTGAACATAAATATTGTTTTATACATCCAATCCTAGTTATATTATGAAACACGACAGCTTGTATATATACAGTTACGGGTCTTCGGTTCAACCGATTTTGATAAAATTTTATTTCCACATAGACTTTTTGTTCTGGTATTGTAATTTTATGATAAGTTCCGTTTTGAATATTTCCAATGTGTATTTTTATGTTTTGGTTAAAACGTTATAAAATATAAAACGGTATTTTCCTTATACAGAGTGGTAAAAAAAATAAAATGAATTTATTTTTAAATGAAAGAATTATAGTCAAGTAAGTCTATTTATATATGTAGTTTCGGCTTCAGTGTTAAAGTCTTCGTTTTACAATCTAGCAAATAGGATATTGCCTATTTTCCTTCAATCCTTATCATAATTAACCAAATCGTTTTAGGAAGTGATAAAACACCTTATCATTGAATGACTAATTTATTATTACTCGTCACTTTATAATGATGTCATTTAATTTCTAGAATTTTTTACTTAAATACTTTAGTACGAAAAAGTGATTATATTTTCAATGTGGTACAAGAAACATCATATATATAATTTTGTGTTTAATTTTTTTGACAAGCACTTTGATGGTTTCCACTATCATGTAGATGGGACTGTGTATAATTATATAAATGAATTGTTACGTAAGCTTTTTTAATACTTTTAACTTTTGTTGAGATAAGTCGAAGTATACGCACTTCGACTTATATCAACGACTTAAAAGTAAGCCGATAAAATAACAATGACAAGTAGAGTACGTTGTCTAGTAGCATAGAAATATGCAAATAAGCATATAAATAAAGTCCACAAACAAATAGTTAAATGTGTTGCCTAGCATTGCTTTAAGCGCGAGAGGTCCTGGGTTTGAAGCCCTCGATACATTGTTTCGGGGATGGCATATGATACAGAAGGCTGATCAACTGATCAAAGAACTCAGGTGTGTGTTCGGCTCATGAAGAACGGAAAACGGGATTATACATTGTGGAATAAAAGGATAGTGTCAAATAAATATATTTTTAGCCAAGAATCGAACTTAATGATTCACGACGGGTATATACTGTTCCGAGATCTTCCCGATTATCCCGATAAGCAGCCCGATAGGCAACGCTTTTTTGGCTCGCCGTTGGTGTTCGTGAATTTAGCATCAGCAAGTGTTCCGTCAGGTCAAGTCGGCTATAAATTCAATTGAGTCCAAGAAATGAGGGTTTTCTTTGCGACGACGTCACGTTCGCTAAGCTTTACTTCGCTTAATTAAAATTTGCTTTGAATAAAATATTTGTGGTGAGTCGATGTATGTAGGTAAGCTTTTTTATTTTTGCATATTAAAGTTAATAGCCTGGAAAGATTAAATACATTAGAATTTCCAAACGCGCTTTTATCATTCAAATTGTAAAGACGAAACAAGATAACGTACACATTGCGTTAAATAGATTTAAATATATAGGTGAAAGACTATTAACGATGCTACAATGTTTAATATATTAAACCTTGTTCTTATACAGGAATGGTTTACATGAATAAAAACTTATGAACTAGGTAGCTTATAAATAGGAGGCGGCCTTATCGCCAAGGAGCGACCTCTTCCAGCCAACCAGATGTGAAGAGAAAACGAAAGATTAAAAGGACTATAGGTGCTAGAGGGTTTTGAAAAAGAAAAGCTGTATCTGTTTTGTTCATAATTGTAGATTACGATATAACCGTAGTTTCTATTATTTATTAACAAAATAAGTGAGAGAATGTTAGTAAATAGATTTGTTACTATAACACATTTTATACTTACATATGCATCTTTATTTTGTTTTGTCCAGATCCAATTCCTTTGAAGAACATCGCGCACAACACATCGCTTTAACTTCCCCGGCTGAGTTCTCATACAATGTGTTTCTGGAACATTCCAAGAACCCTTCGAAGGGGTGAGGGAAGCTCATTGTTTGTTCTGTTTTTGATATTGGACCTTACTGTGTAGACAATAAATATTTGACTTTTTTAACGTACTGATAAAACAGTATTAGGTATAATTTTCCTACTCGTATAGTAGTTAACCTACTTAGTAAGTAAAAGTAGTTATCAGTTTAAAAAAAAACAGGCTCTTAATTCAAATTATATTGACAAAAAAAACTTTACCTCAATATTTTTGATATTTATTATGTCAACAGTGAGGAACTCTACTTCTAAATTTTAGTTAGTTTAAATATAGTTCCGTTTTAAAGGCATGCAATATATTATCTTTCCACGCAAATGGACTTGTTAAAATGAGATCGGTGAGGACAAAAGGTATAATAAAACAGTGCATATTTGAATAAGCATTATATTTCGATTAAAACGTCAGATCAGACAATTGCGTACACATGCATATATAATACTACAATTCGATATATAAGGTACAGCATCAGAGATGATATCAAGGTAAACATGGCAGTTCTATCGTAAAGGAACTAAACGTTCCGTGACCTGACAACAATACATCATTCACTCGTTCACTCAACATCAGTTTCACTGACACTCTCGTTCCTTTTTTAAAGCTGGTCCGCTTACACAGTCAATGTTAACATCACATAAAATCGTGCAATATATGTAACATATACTTAGGTACATTTGGGACAGTCCCCAGTCATCAATACTAGCTAAGTATCACTGCATATACCGACTACATTACTATGGCCATCCGTCGACACATTACAGATACCGAAACGAATACACTAAATGTAGAGAAAGTATCTTTCTAGTAGGAAAATTCATAACCCCATAAAATAAATATCTTACACAAAACGAATCACAGAATATGCGAACTGCCATCTAACGTCCCTAAGCTGGAAAAGCTTCCTAAGCCCTCGGGGTTCTTAAAACTAAACGCAGTCTTAAAATCACCAGACATCGTAACAACCTCATACAACCTGAACATCGAAAACATGCAATCATTTAAAGCGAACTGTTCCTAAGGGAAACTCACACGTTAGAAGTTCCGACACGAAAAGTGAATATTGATCATTAAAGAGAGTGCAACAAGCAGGTCTACTCTCGAAATTTATAGCAAATTAAGTTGTTAAAATAACTCATTCCAATGATTCCAAATGAAATACATAAGTGTTGGAATCCTGTCCTATATCTTAAGTTAAGATTCTAAAAGTGGATTGCTATAGAACCAATCAAGTTAGTTCGAGAGTATGCCTGCAAGTTTCACAGGTTTCGAATCGAAATTTCCCTTCTGAACCGTGAACAGCCGAAGTTCGCCACCACTCGGTACTCAACTGCGCTCTAACGGGATATCACAGATGGTGTTGCGTCTCTGGCGGCGGCCAGGCGCACTTTCCATCGCCTCACAGGTAGGGCATGCAGGCGGTACAGTGCCACTTTCGCTCGGGGGAGGCCGCGCGCGCCCTGTACACAAGCACGCCCGGTTAACTCACGAGCTCCTCTCCTGCGCACGCGAATCGGAGCGGCTGAACGCTCGCTTCAACTTCTCCACCAACCTGCTGTGAAACTTGTCCGACTCGCGCCCGCCGCTCGGGGGGCTAGCCAAGCCCTTGGGGCTGTCCTGCGCTCGAAGTGACACCCGCGATGGTGGCATACGGCCGTAGGAAACGGAGCGCATAGCCGGCGCGCTCCGGTGTGGACTCAGGACGTTGGAAGACGTCCGCGGAGAAAACGCCGGGCCCTCGGAGCGAGACTCGGACACTTTGCGCATCCGACCACCGATCCCCGCCTTGTCCGCCGACTCGGAGGTCCGCCGTGACCTCTGCGAGTTGTATATGTCCCAATCGTTCTTCACCACTGGCATCATGAACGCCATCTCGGCGATAGCAACGGTGACTCCTGAGTTTTAACGTTTTTGGAATTATCGATAGGCGTCGCGCAAAACGGCTTCGTGTTTCGCGGAAATGCACTGGACGATCGATAGAGGCTGGTCCCTCGATTCAAAGATCGCCTTTATATTTCTTTGATTTAGGTCTATAATAACTTATACTTGACAGTTTGTTAATAGCACATACACATACTATATGGAAAAAGGGTTGACTTTCACTTCAATGTCACTGGTTTTGAACCGGTTACCCCGATGTTAACCTTTGGACGAATTGTGACGGAATGAGGTATTCGTGAAAACACACCCTGAATATAAGGAAATTATCGGCGCCACTGTCGCGGCGGACGTCACGCGAAACACCGATAATAAATACCACTCGAACACGCCGTAAACAAGTGTATTTGACTACTGCCCAAATTGCATTATAGTCTGAAAATAAATACGAACCGTTCTGAAATGAAAGATTCTTTTTATATCACAAAAATCCGAAAGAAAATGCATTTTCCATCTTTGCCATTCACGAAAAGATGGCATGTATAATAAATGATAATTGCCATTCAACACTAGATGGCGGTGAAGTTTTTGACGACAGTGACATCTATAGAATAGTAAAAAAAAGTAAACAATTTGTAAAAGACCTTAAGTAATAATTTCCTTAATTATTGTTTGATGATAATATTTTCCTATACTCTTCAGAATCATATATAATAAAATGAAAGAACGTGTTTTTTAATTCTTTATTTTAAAGCATCATTATTTAAAAGAGAAAACTTTAAATGAGAAATGAAAAAACATTACAAATTAACATACAGCTGAGCGATCATATTGCTGAGATTCCTTAGTAATTCGAGCGACATCTTGAGAACACTGTAAACGCTTCTAGCATTAATAAAATATTCTCTATTAGAATATAACGCAAGCTTTCAGCATAAAACTATCTAATGATTACTTTACATAACGAAATATTAGAAGAAAACTTAATAAGCATAATTAACAAGCCCTTATTAATTACTTTAATATTACATGAAATCATTAAAAAAGTCTAATTGCGTTAACAAATAATAATACTAGGTGGGAATATATCACATTAGTTTTCCTATAACTATATTAATGATATGAGTATTATATAATTATTCATAATATCGTCAAATAATTTGTCAGTAAGCAATTTCTTTGACCTCATACGAAAATATAATTTTAAGTAAAAAAATATTCAGCAGATTTAAATTTTAATAGACAAAATATTTACTTTATTTCCCTGATTAATGATTTTTGGTTTAATTAAAAATGTAGATCCTCTTTTAACAATAACAATGCATATGTATGGTAATTTTTCGTGACTGGCCAAAATTGTAAACAAATATGGTTTCCTACAATCTACAGATAAAAAGTAACAATCAGCTAAAATTTTCACGAATGCGTTCAAAGTTTAAAAAAACACAAAGACTATACAAATGAAAAAGAATGTTGTCAATTCTCGCCCATTCGTATTATACTTAATATTAATACAATTTCATGGTTTTTTTTTTGGAAGGGAGGTTCTAATCCTTTTATATTTAACCCACACTTGTATTGGTGTCTACTTTCTCCGGATCATAATAACCGTTCAAATTAACCATCGTCAGAAGCTCCACTAGATGTCGCTGATATCCACATTCCATTAACTTCGTGATAACTTTGTGCAAATATTTTGTAAGTTTTTCATATAAATGATATAACTCGTTCAGTTGTGCATAATTTGTGTGAATGAAGTAACCGTTTGCTTCTTTTTGTTGCCACTCCCTAAAACATTTGTTAATACAATATAATAAACGGACATGATTCTAAAATAAATAGAAAAAATAACGATAATTTTTATTATAATTCTGCATATGCATTGAATAAACGAAATTTAACATTACAATGTATTTTTTTCAAGAAATTAGTTTCTAATTAAAAAATCTGTTACGATCTTTTTTTATTTTTACTTAAAAATCTTTAATCTTCAATAACTTATGTCACTCTAAATGTTTTTTTAATAATTAATCAATAATATCTTTATAATAATTATACAATGTGTAAAACAATACAGTTTCCATAAGTTGAATTGAAGTTCCATTTAAATTTAAGTCAAAATACTCACCCAGCTTTAAGAACCCGACTGAACTTTAAAATAACTGTAAAAATATCATTCAATAACTTCATGACCGGTGTCGATCTGTTATTAAGAAGACACCTGAACAAGACGTTCTTTATATACATGACATGACAGTCATACAGATCATCTAGTGTCCGGGCCTTTCTGAGTTCTTTTTCAAATTCTGTCCACGAAGTTAATATGCAGGTGGTGACGATGTAATTGTCCAACGCGCGAATAAGCGACGCCATTATATGACGGTACAACTGTACTGATATGTACTGTGGCGAGCGTAAGAGCTTTCTAGAATTCTCGCGGGCCAGTTTAACCGAGAGTTTTAGTGACTGAAAAAATTTATACATAATAATAAAACACAAATAGAAATACCAGAAATTTACGTGATATGTATATATTAGTCAAAGTTTAACTAACCCTAAAAACGTTATGCTTGTCTGTTCTATTTAAAAAAAACAGATGGCGTAGTACTAAAAACTGCAACTCTAGGTTGCAGTTTTTACTTTGTATAGTTGAACTTATACAGTTTTTGCGTTTTTAAGGGTTAAAAGTGTTTTATTTAAATGTGTAGGTACTACTCGCGTAAACTACTGATAGGGAATACACAAGAAATTACTGAATAATTAATTTACATAGAGATTTAGTTCATGGCCTATGGAAATTTCTTTTAGACAACCTTTGTTTACAGGAGATAGTAACAAAGGAACAATTAAAGAGTAAAAATCAGCAAAATAGAAGAAAGTAGGCAATTATAACTTACAACAATAATAAGACTCGTTCTAAACAGATAATAAATTCGCTTGTTTGAAATTAATTTTGAAAAAGAAAAATATATTTAATTATTTATGGAATTGAAATATATCTCTATTAGGATTATATAGAGATATTTGAAGTTGGATCTCGTTTTCCTATCAACCAGATGTTACCGTATAGGCTATTCATAGTTCGCATGAATTTATTTAAAACTACCCGCGTGATGAAATATAGTTATTTTAATTTAAGTAGTTATAAGTTTCTCATGTAAGTGGTGTAAATCTGAGTTTAAAATAAATGTCTTTAAACCGATATTTAAATTGTACTTACTTCAAAATCCTCGCTCAGCACCCAAAAGATTCGTCGCATTTTGATCAAAAACTGGAATACCTTAGCGTATCTTAAGAGCGCTTCTTGTGATAGTATTATGTTTAGGGGCCAACTGACGGTATATGTTAAAGACAGACATTGCAAAACGTCCGGCGAACTGTGTTGGAAACTCAGTGGAGCTTCCGGTATTGTAAACGAGAGGTTTTCCGAAAATTTGTGGACGTCTGTAACGTAAAATCGCAATTATATTATAAGGCCGCTAGAGGCAGAGTAGCCTAACTGTTATTTTTTTCGAAATTATTGCACCACAAACCCCAAATCATATACTCCAAAAGATATATTGTTTAATTAAGATGGATTAAGTATTTTAATTTAAAATTGGGTATCTCGATATATATAGATTTTTATTTTAATGCATATAGCATTTCAATAATAAAAAGAAAAAAGTTTCTTACGCGATATAGAAGAACCAAGAGCCTTATCCAGTATATTGTGCAAAGTGGAGAAATTCAACAACTCTTGTGGGTTCAAAGTCTTTGTAAGTTTTGCGAAGAGGTTATGGCATATACTCCTGGAAAATTCTCCATCCATTAGGAAGAAGTAGTCCTTTAAACTCCTTAAATGCTCGTACATATCGAGATTGACTAAGAAATATGTCAATATCGAATTATTAACGACTTCCAGTTGGTAGGTTAATGGCAACATCACCGAACGTTGCAAACACGCTGTCAGTGTTGCTATGTTATTACAAGTTATACACTCATCATCGTCTTCATCACCAATACGAGATCTGTATATATTTTTATACGGCGCCTTTGTCACCTCTTCCATTATAGTTGCTGGGTGGGTATAAAATGTACTATCTATAGACATTTGACTATCAATGTAATTCTTTGAATATTTCTCCCAATTCTTAACACCAAACGGATCAAAATCGTCAAGATTATATGACCCATCTATAATATTAAACACCGAATGTTTATGTTTCTTCTTTAATCTTTTAGGTGATGAATCGATACTTTGATCACTGATCACTTCTGATACAGCCGTTTCATCATCGATGATCATGGAGAAGTTGAAACCGTCGGAGCGTAAATAGTTTTGAGGTTGCAAATTTTCTATGTCCTGCCCTTCGCTTCGGGGGGTGAATATGTCGCTTGTCATGGGCCCATCTGTGGGCACTTCTGCTGTGGTGGGAGTTTCTAGATCCAGCTAAAATATAGAATAAAAAAAATTGTAAATTGTAAAAATTTACAACACGGACCGGACTTGAACTGGGACCCACAGCGTTCAATACTGTTGCTCTAATGGAGCTACGTGTCCGTGTGACACGGTAGATGTCGTTTCAAGTACTGCGCGAGTCGTATTTTTTTTTTTCAATTTATATAGTTCTGTCATGCGAAAAATATTTAAGTTTTCAAAAAAATATTTCCGACTCCTATATAAATGTTATTTCCTTTAGTATAGTAGACATAGTGAGTAGTTTCGTGATATTAGTATGTAGGCAAAAAAAAGACCTCTAACTTAAATAGGTGAAAACTTACCCTCGAAAACAATTCCCCAGGCGTTACCACTCCAGAATTACAACCTTTAGTACTTGTAGTGTCACCAAATGGCTTTAAATTTAGTTTTAAGCCAGATTTCTTCACTGACATTTGACTAGATCCATAATGTTCGGAACCCATTACATTATTTCTATTGCGTATAGCTTCCCTCTGAGCTACATTAGCTGGTTCACGTTCAGGCAATCTATTTAACGGCAAGTTATATTCTACACCTAGAACTCTCTGTTTATTAATTATTGCTTCCTTTTGAGCGTCAGATCTCCAATTAGGAGCAACTTCTTTTTCATTATATTTAAATCCTACATCTTTATTTATTGTTTCATCAGTTCTCCCTATATCAACTTTATCAAATTCCACTCCGAGAACTTTTCTCTTATTAATCACGGCTTCCCTCTGTGCTTCCGTTCTTGGTTCATAGAAATATTCCATTTCCGTTTCAATTCTATCGAATTCGGCACCCAGAACTTTATGTTTATTAATCAAAGCTTCTCTATGCGCTTCTGTTATCGGCTCATCGACATTCGTATCTTTTTCTTGAATAACATTAAATTCTGTTCCCAAAACTTTTAATTTGTTCCTCCTAGCTTCGGATATTGGGCCCTCAATGTTATTGTCTTCATCTGCAGACGTCAGTGTAATTATCGGAGCTTTCAGATTATTCTCGTTATCTGTGCTAAATTCGTGTGCCATGACTTTCAATTTGTTTTTAACTGCCGCCTCTCTCGCTTCTAGAAATAGTAGATTGTCAAAGGCCTGATTTAAATTTGAACCGATAACGTTACTTGATGTCGCTTCCATCTTGTTATTTTGAAAGTCGTTGATGACATTTCCTTGAGCGTCTAGTTCTTGTTCATTGTCGCATTTTCGTTTGCCTGTTCCGAAGATACTTTTGGCAACGTTGCATATTGCACTGAATACGTCATTAGAAGCTTGAGACTTTGTTTTGTTTGTACAATGATCAGATGATGTTGCGTTATTGTTTTCATTCCCAAGAGAACTGGTCGACTCTATCATTATTAGGTTTTCTTCCTCTTTGTCACCGTCCAGTCCATCTTCAGATTTGAAGTCACTTTGTATAGACATCGCCATTATTTCTTCGTTTTTCTGATGTTCAAGTTCCAATTTTTCCCGTTTTAAATTTCTTTCCTCGGAAGAGAGCAGTTGCATTCTCGATTGGTCAAGCTGAAGACGTTTTATCTTCCATTCGGTGTGTATTTTGCTTTTCTCGACTTCCATATTCAACTTTGAGTAGTACTCTAGCATTTTGTTTCTGAAACAATATGTTTTATTTAATTACCACATGTCAGTCAACATGCTCAGTCGTGTCTACATATATAAGCTTTTTTTAAGATTTTTACTTGTATAAATCCATTTATATCATTCTAGAATCAAAGCAGTTAGATTTGTAGATCCTTTTTAATTAAAAAATTAACCTCTTAACGTGCTTTTTATGTTTAGTAATGAATGATAGGCTTTATTCTGTGGTTCGTGAGCCGGACAAAATTTCAAACTTTAATATCCAGATTTTTTAGAAGTCTTACTTACGTAGTCTTTTGTTTAAGAAACATTCATTGCTAATAGAAGCAACAAGCCCGCCATTTTATGACAATAAATCATTAAATAAAATTACTAGGTAAATCATTAACCAGAAATCGTATGAAAATTTTCGACTACGACTTACTTTTCGTCATCTTTTAGCTTGGAATCAACCTCCTCAGTAGCCTTTTCAGCTGCTTCTTCCAATTGAGAGCGCTGCTTTTCGCGCTGTTTCACTTTATTCTTACTAGCTTTAGCCTCCGCCATAGCAGCTTCTAATACTCTCAGCGAATGTTGTTTTTCAGCTATAATAAGTTGCGCTAGACGTTTTCGTTCAGCTAAAATATACAAATATATACACTTTTAACGGTTAAAAGCGCAAACTGTATATAAATTAAACTATACAAAGAAAAAACTGCTACGCTAGCGCCATCTGCAGATGGTGGTTCGTGACCGGGACGGAGTCCAGTATTCGAAAGTTGTTTCAGAATGTTTCAGAAAAATTATAAATATGATGGGATCATACCCGAGACCCCTTGATTAGCTATACACTGTTACCATTGGTTGGATTACTTCAAATTGGATGCCGGTTCTAATACCAGGTGTATCAAAGCTTTTTCAAATCGAAATTAACAATTTATATAGGACTAAACTAACCAACAATTTTCTCCATAGTTTCCGCTTGTTTGAGAGACGCCATTTCCGTAAAGGCTTTTCTCTCAGCCTCTCGTTTAAGCAATATCTGGTCGAATGTGACTGGTTCGCCGCTAACGAACAGACATCTCGTTCTATATACGTCCAACACCTGTTGTTCGCGTTCTAGCTCTTCGAATGTGGCGCAGCACCTCATTGATGGGTGATCTGATGATATCAGCATCACTAATGGGTCCTGGAAATAGTATTTCTTATTTAAACAAAATCACTTTTAACGGTTTAAAACACGAAATATTATTTTTAACTACGCCACCATACTCACAGTAGGATTACATTGTTTCAGGAGTCGCAAAGACTTTCCGCAAAGTAGAATGAATGTAGCCAAAGGTCTCAAGAAGTCCGGAACAGCCACGCTCATAGTTATATGAAACCCCTTATCCCAATATCTTTTACTTCTCGAATTGACATATTGGTTGTCCTTCCTTATGAAGAACTCGTTAAAATAATCATCCAATTCTCCTTCAAATATAAACTTCTCTATAAATCTGCCGATAAAAATATAATCTATACTAATATATAAAGCTGAACAGTTTGTTTGAACGCGCTCTCAGGAACTACAGATTAGTAATGAAAAAATATTTTTGCTATGGTTAGAGCATTTATCAAGGAAGGCTATAAAACATTGCTGTGACTAATAAAAGCGAAGATACAGCAGGAAATCTTCAGGTTCAAGACACCCAAAAAATATGTACGAAATGTTTTCAAGAAATGCCCGCGACACTACATGTCTATCTTTAGCTTATGTTGCAAGAACCACTGGACGCGACCGATGTCGTGGGCAGCTTAAATTTACAAAGATGCAGAGGTTTGCAAAAAACAAATTTGGATGCCCAAATTTACTATTCTGCGCGGACAAAGTCGCTGACACAGGTCGTAAATAAATAAAAAAGCCTTTTCGTTGACCAAATTTTACACGATTCACATTTACAAATTAACATAGTAATTTTATAAGTAACTTTACATACAACTCTCAATATACATATGTTTTATTTGTTTAGAAGTACTTTGGTATAAATAAAAATATATAATACTTTGAATTAAACAATTAAAACGGCTTAAAACGTGAAATATATCAGTTTACCTCATTTTGACTACGTCACTGGGTTTTGGCTGATGTGATTTTTACTAGACGCTTACATACAATACTTATAATTTGTGTATAAGTCGTACCTTGTTTTTTTTTACACGACACTGTATCAATGTTCGATTTCCCGTAAGACACATTGTTTTGCGAAAATGCCATTATATCTTAACTAGCTTTCTTTAAAATATCTTATTGGATGACTTATTTATACAAGGTACGAAATATAGAAAAACAATAATGTTTTAAAATTAATATCATTAATACAATAAAATTACTACTTGATTACATGCAATACTAAACTACATGCTAGCATACTAAAAAGGTAATGACAGTTTATTAATAAATAGAAAAATCTGACCAAATTTTTATCAGTCTAGTGCATCGATTTAAAATTAAAAGTTACTCACTTGAAGTACACACGGCATACGATGAAAAGCGAATTGAAAAGTGTTTCGGCTGTCCGTTTGTGTGTGACCAAAGATATTCGATTAAATAAATACGACATCAGTTCTGCGCCATGGGGTATTGATGTTATTGAGTCTGCAATAACAATTTAATAATTTAAAAAGAGCATACTTTAATTAATGGATTTCACGAAATATTTATTCGACTGTACTTAGTTACAGTTAAATCTTTACTAATATTGTAAGGCTAAGGAGTTTGCTTGATTGACGCCCTAATCTTAGGAACCACTTGTTAGAGCATTTATCGAGCAATTCTCAAATACAAATAACATTGAGTAATCGTATTAGTTTCTCTGCACAAGTAATAAGACCGAACAAAATAAAAGAATGTTGTCTCTTTCCCACAATGGCCTATAAAGAACAAGGAAGCAATATGATCAGTGGGCGTCAACGTTTCTCTTCCTATTGTTTATTTTTTTAATTCTGTTTATAGCAAACTTAACTGTACTTTTAAATAAAACACTAACTGTTTAATGCGCGATATGTATTAGTTAAACTTATTTAGAAATTTGGTGTGACCACGGCTGCTGCAGAGAATCCGAAACGTCGGGCCGTTAAAATAATATATCTCGTTTTAAACGGTTAAAGCGTTTTATTTAAATGTGTACTACTCGCGTAAACTACAGACAGTATTTACCTGTACTTTCAAGTTTGTATATCGTGGCCAGTGTTTGAATCTCGTACTTCAGAGGTTCCATGTGGTACAGTATTTGCAGCAAAGTTGGCATACAGTTGATGTCTTCCGATGTTCTGCTGCTGAACTCTTCGAATATTTCCGTCGCCTCCAGGCGGAATTTCAGCAAGTACTGTCTCACTACTTCTCTTGCAGCCTGTAAGAGATAATAATCTAAATTAATTAGACGGGATAATGAATAAGGCCCGACTCTAATACCTGGCATTTCAATGTAATATAGAACACTGAAGTTTTAAATCTGTATACCGAGATCTTATTTTGAAATATAACGTGGGAAGAAATCTATATAAAACAAAAAATATTGTAGACAGTCTAAGAAATTATAGATTATTTGTGTAACAGCAGGTATTTATAATGCGATATGATCACTTGCTAATATAATATAATATAATAATTAATTGAAATATCGCATCCTTTGACTGATAAAAGAAATACTTCTCTTATAATTTCTCTTCTAATCCTTGATTATTTCCCTACACTTAAAACAGTTAGTCAAGCTAAACTTTTCGTCTTATAAGTTAGTAAGTAAAACTTAAATGTAAAAAAATGTGGTATTTCTTCTACCATCAAGGGAACCACGGGCTTGTCCACCTCAATCATGAAAAAAATCTTGGTTCAATGTTCTTATAAGACAATATTTTTTTGAAAACTTTACCTCAAAAACAAGTCCCTTCTTATGAAAATGATCATCAACGGTATGATTAAAGGCGAAGTCATAGAGACGCCTGTAATATGTGCCGGTCATCAACAAAGGTGCAATATAACCTTGAAGGTGCTCCCTTGAGATACACTCGAGGATAAGATTCTCCTTCATCCGGAAAGAATTCGTTGATTTAATGAAAGGAAACGACCTGGTTTCCACACCAACTGTAAGAAACATTTCTTTTTGTCTAAATAATGTTTTTTTGCTAAGCCATTTACAATGTACAAGTGCAGATACAAACAAATGTTTTCGTGCCGTAAATAGGCGATAGAGTTAAGATAATTGCTTTGTTGGCAGATTTAAATTTAAAACATATTTTTTTATTGTTCATTTTTGACTTTATATTGAGCATCATAGTCAAAAATCATTTATTCACGTCGGTAACTAGACACTTATGAACGTCACAACAATTAAAAATTAGACTCTAAATTTGCATTTACTACCAGTTCTCAAATCAATGACGTATAACGTACGAGAAGAACTGTCAAGAAACTCGCCGCCATTCCTTTAATCGCCAAGTTTCATTTTACAGACTTCACGTACATTAAGTGAACTACCTACATATTTTTTTTAATAGAAAAGAAACACACAGAAAAAAGATCAGAATTAATAATGGCATAACTTTTAAACTTATGTTATATTGTATGAATTTTACTTACTTAGTAGGTATGTTATGTGCCTTATAAACTGCCTTTCTGAAGTAATACTTAGATCCGGAAAGGACCCGGTGTAGGTCTGTCGCCATAATCTGATTTCCCTTGACGACGTTGCTATTAGTTGCCTCTCGTTTATTGGAGGTAGCTTTGCTGTAAATATTGTTTACTTTCAAATATATCCAAGAATCATCCTTGTAATCCACTCTGCTACGATTACTAGTAAGTCCGCGTAGCAGAGTGGCGAGTGTACATACTTAAGGCAAATCCCTGTTATTTAGGGTAATTGAGGTAAATGGTAATAATAAAGAGTGTCTAATATTAGTGTTTGTGATTAATATGAGTAAGTAAATTGTGTGAGTCACCAATTTGTTCTAATATTTATAAAAGGTTTTAAACAAAGAAAGTTTCACAGATCATAAAAGTGGCATTGATATACAAGGGGATATCTATACTATTTTTTGTAAAGATTCAACAAGAACAATCTTGTAAATAGCCTACAAACTGTGTTACGCCCTACATATAATGCTAGTGTCACATTCTAATCATAAACTTACACACATACTCCCAAATGTCAACTGAAATATCCTTGTCTACTTGAGAGGCCAATTCCCAAATGTTCATATTATCTGCTTCACTATTGTCTAAATTTTTCAAGTCCATTTTGTCCTCAGTTGTGACAAAAGATATCTGTAAAAGTATATGTCAATTTTTTTACAAGAAGCAAAATTTTATATCCCATAACAATGGATTTTATTCTAGACATGGTCAGTAGGAGAAGTAGAGGTGGGACAGTAACCCACAGCTCTGCCAAGGACCCATACATTCTTCCTTTAAGATGTGATTCGCAGTATATATATCATCGATAAAAGGTCTTAGAATTAAGCTATAGATAATATTATTGGGTAATAGTTATGTGATTAAATTTAATTCAATAATATTTTTACCTTAGGCTGAAGAGGAAGAGACTTTGGTATTACCAAATCCCTAGGAGTCATTAACCTCGGAAAATTGTAGACATTGCATTCCGAATATGGTGATACTTGCGTTGAACTTAAAGAAGGGAAGGCCATTGGGCTTAAAAATGTTCTTATTTCACTTTTTCGTGAGTTATAATCGGTTACAACTGAAATAAAATGATATGTAGTTGGGTTAAAAAGGAACACTCACTCTCCATAACCCAAAGTCAAAGATTAAGACAAAAACAGTGATTGTATGGTTTTCAGGAATTGTTGATCTGTGTAAACGTTTAATGGAATTTTTGGAATCACAATTTTCAAATATTCTTGATTTTTATATTCCTACTGCTCCTTTCCATGGGATAATTGTAAAATATGGTGTTAAGCTTTAAGCATTCAATGTCTAAATAATGAAAAGCATAACAAGCATAAGAGACCAATCACCTACTTCATGAAATAGGCACATGGACAAAGTGATTTGCCCCACATAGTTGTCAGAGTTTTAAAATTATACTTACAAGACTTTGAATCCAAACTGTCAACTGTATAGTTAACATAACTCATGTTTGAACCGTTCAAATCATTCCCTCTGTTTAATTTAAATGGTAACTCAAATATGTGCGGTGGGTAAACAGGGTAGGGTTGTGGAGAGCCAAACACTTCTCTTTTCGGTTTTGGTAGCATTTCTTCAAGTAAACCAAATGAAAATGGTCTCTGAAAAATAATTTCATTCTTACACTATTTGAAAATTACACCAATCTTAACAGCCATTCAGAGACAAAGTAAACCCAGAAGAAGGTAACTTCTTAATTTTATATAAAAATAACAATTTATACAAACGTAACCTTATAAGCTTCTAACAAAGCATCATCTGCCACTGTATTATGAAGTTTTACGAGGAGTCTGAGAATTTTGTAAACATGATCCTTATCCAAACCTAAATCAGAGTTTCTTAATTTATTGATAGCTTTTTTCAGATCTAATGATCTTTTATATTCGATAACGTTCTTTACATTCTGCTGTAATATAAAATGACATGATAGCAGATCAACAATTGGGTCGCTTTCTGATATTGGTATATCTATCGACGATTTTTTCAAAACAATTTCATAGGCTTTTGATCTCATTTTGGATGCAAGTTGCTTCACAGAAGTTCTACTCTGATGGCTACAGTTCTGTGCCTGCGTTTCACATAGTTTGGTGAGCAGATCATAAACGCTAGCATTTTCATTTTTATTAGTGTTATTCATCTTGAAGATTAATATGGTTATGACGTGTGCAGCTTCAGTAAGCGGCATTCATTCTTAAAATTCCTTTTTCTTAATTGTGTGGCGGGACACCTGAAGATTAATACAAAAAAATGTGACACAAGAAACAAGGCATGCAGAAACAATAAAAAAGTAGGAAACATTTAAGTTTATATTACCTATTATCTATAAAACAACATCTAAGTCATTAATTATTTATAAGTATATCGTTATAATAAGTATTTTTTTTTGTTTTATTTGTTACGTGTTGTAGTTATACTAAGAAATATAAATTACAATCAACGCATATAGTACAATATAATAAAATGTAAACACAGCAGCCGGCAACAAATAGCACTGACAAATGACAGGTATATATTGTATTATGTTTTTTTCTAACTGGCTAAAACTGGTAAAAAAAATAATCACAAAATTACAGATTTTGAAAAACCACCAAAAATATGTTTTTCTTCAGGATTTCATCGCATTAATTATTATTATAATAACCGATTTTTAATATAATGATCTTACTTTGCTAATTGTTCTCTCAACTTTGTAAGTAATCTATTTCTCTAGTTAGCGATGATCTTAAGCTTAGCAAGCCACATCTGTGATTTGTTTTTTATTTTTGCGTCATAAAAAATGACAATGGACAGTTACAATTTTAACGCAGTTACTGTATAGTCTGTGTAAAAGATAAAAAATAAAACAACCTAAAATTGCTTTTTTTCAAGATTCAAGCGATAAGCATCAAACTACAACTTACAAAACAATTATTTAACAGAGTTGTATCATTTCAAAGGATTTGTAGAAACTAGTTACGATATAAGAGTATAATTACAATCTGACTGATACTCTATAATTATTTTTAAAAATGAATCAAGCTGATGTTACCAAATTGGTTTCCAAGCTACGTATTAAAGTGCCCCCGAAACATCGACGTCTTAGAAATGCTGAGGGACCAGAAGGTAGAATAAATAAATTAAGGAAAACAGTAACCGCAATAATAAAATACGAAAGAATTGAAGTCAATTACAACAGAGGCGATGAAGCTCGCCAGTACACAGAAAGGGTAAATATTTAACATCAATTGACGGTAACTTATTAAGCAGGAATGTTTCTAAAAGTTAAAAATTTTCTTTGCAGTTAATCGCTGAGGCTATCAATCATGGTGATTGCCATAAGCCAACAATGGAAATGGCCAACTTTTGGCTCCTGGAGAAAGAACTTGTACACAAATTGTTCAAAGTTTTAGTACCCCGCTTTGAAAATAGTAATTCTGCCTTCACTAGATTTTTGAAGGCACCAAGACCAGCACATAGCCGTAACATGGATAAGGCTGTATTAGAATTAAGGGGCAATCCTTTTCCATCTCTCCAAAATAGACAAGCCAATAACAGATTGCTGCTTCAAAATGTTCTACTTGATGCAGCAAAGTATGATTACAGACAAGCCAAATATGCTGAAATGGCAGAGAATATTGGGAAAACTGAATCTGAACCCAAAGAGAAGTCATCTGATCAAAAACCTAATTTATGAATTGTTATTAAGTAAAGCTTTTAGGGGAATCCATTGTAACCTGTATTTTATTATAGAAATAGAAGTCTAGAACTAGTTCTATCCTTTTATTATTTATTTATTAAGGTACATCAACATAAAATAACATCCTACTTTGCTACTGATTTATTATCAGTGTCAGTGATTTATAACTTTTGTTAGTCATTTATTCAACACTTCTCTATCAAAACCCATATATTATAATGATTATCATAGATCAATAGCCGTTGACTACACAAATCAGCCCAAAACAAGAGAGTCAATAAACAAGTAATGTTAAAAAGTACAACAGTTTGCAAAGCATAAATAACAGCTAACGCCTGATATAGAGGTTAGGTAGAGTGGTAATTATCAGCAAGATAACCAAAACAATACAACTACAAGTAGGTACCTGTACATTACAGATAAAATTTAACTACTAGTTTATTACATTTGTTAATTTACAGTGCATTGTGCTCAGTGGAGCAAATATCGTGGCAATTTTTTGCATTTCTGAAAGGTACGCCTTACTGTATAGACGCAATATTTGAGTAAGGTACACGCCCCTATTCTCAGTGACGTTTAAGTGAGAAGAAAATTATTATGGAATCATCAACTAATCAAGCAAAAATTGTTGTTGTCGGATCATGCAGTGTTGATTTTACAACGTATGTTTATCTTTATTAGTCAATATATTTTTAAGCCTTTACTTAAATCTAAATCCAATTTAATAACCTAGAATTAGATGTTTATTTCCTGTCGCATTATATTCTTTAAAACATTAGAAGGTTAACACTAAACATCTCATCGTAACCCTATATGGCATGTACGATGATCAAATAGAAACGTTATGCAATAAGTCGTAGTTATGAATTTAAGTTTCCGTTTGGATCCATTTGTCAAAACCAAAACAAACCAATTGTTAGCTTTTTTTAAGTAGATTCCTAAATCGACCTAAAAAATATTACTGTTTGCCAGCTTGCGTACGTAATTTTTCTTAAGTCCCACGTACAAAAATTACACGCTAAATTCCTCATGTTTTATTTTTTTAAATATTAAAGAAAAATGTTTAAAAAACAATAGACTTATTTAAGACAGATTAGTAAGAGTTAAAACTTAATTATCTACCGAACATTTAGGCTTAGGCGTCTCGCACCGTGGCAATACGTTGCTACCAAGTTACCAACCCTAGCAATATAAGGCAGACTACATACTACACAACTTTTAATTCCTATGCCAACAGAAAATAATCACTCTCTATTGTGTCTTTGCCATAGATAAACATATTATATTTTACTACCTTTACTTTTTAAGAATCTTGTTTTTTTTCGATTCTTTTTACTACCATTTATAGGTATATTTCTTTTATTGAAATCAAAATACCGATAAAAATGATAACGTTCACATTTTAGCTACGCTCCTAGGCTCCCTCAACCAGGAGAGACCCTTCATGGAACTAAATTTGCAACTAGTTTTGGTGGCAAAGGTGCTAACCAGTGTGTTGCAGCCGCCAAACTGGGTGCAAATACTTACATGATATCAAGAGTAAGATAGCTAAGAATAGTAATTCTTTAGTTATAATTTGCTTCTTCATTTAACAAATATTTATTCAAAAGATATTTATGTTGCCAAAAGTCATAAAATTTATAATTGTAATGATTAATGATTGCTCAGCCCTATTATATTATAGGTAGGAGAAGATTTCTGGGGCAAGAAATATATACATAATCTAAAAAGCTTTGGAATAAATGTAACACACACGAAGGAAACAAAAGATGTAACTACTGGTATTGCTCAAATATCTGTAGCAGCAAATGGAGAAAACCAAATTGTCATTGTTCCTGGTGCAAACAATTATCTTAGTGTGACAGATATTAATGAAGCTCAAATTTTGATTCAAGATGCCGATGTTTTGATAAGCCAACTTGAAACACCATTTGATACCACGCACGAAGCTTTCAGATTATGCAAAGGTGTAAGTAGAAAAATGTGTTGCCATTTAGGCTAAACGAATGAATGAAGATAAAATATACATTGCAGGTATTGTATTGCAGGTTCGACTGTTAAATGCAGCACCAGCTAGTACTAACATAGAAAATCTTCTAAAACTCTGTACAGTACTTTGTGTAAATGAATCTGAGGCTGCGTTACTCGTCGGTTTCGAAGTCACTTTATCGTAAGTTTCATTAAAACAAGATTGCGGTTACTATTATTACTTTGATTTATTACTTTATTATTAGGTTGAATAAATATCAATTTGTTCTATTTCAGTAATATTAAAGACACTCTTAATAAATTGTTAGACTATGGATGTGAAACTGTCATAATTACCCTTGGCAGTAAGGGTGCTGCGTATTCTACCCAACGAGATATATGTGTGCATGTTCAGTGTTCAAATGTTGTACCAGTTGATACTACGGTATGACTCCGTTGTTTAAGTATATGTTTTAATTTATCGTAAACTAGGGCTTTAAATGTTGATAATTACAATAAACATAAAATCAAATCATACTATCGTTTTAAATCTGTTGGCTTTTAAAATTTTCTAAAATAAATATTTACCTACTTTAATTTTCAGGGTGCGGGCGATGCTTTTGTGGGAGCATTAGCAACTTTTATGGCAACACACAAAAAACTGCCCTTCCATCAAATTATCGGCGCTGCATGTGATGTTGCAAGCAAATCTGTTACTAAAGAGGGAACTCAATCGAGTTTCCCAGATAAATACAACCCCTTTGAAGTAGTATACCAGTATATAATGTTGTAATATTACATCTCGTTCTCGACTGTTTTCTAACAGCTATTAAAGATATTTCATATAATATCTACTTGAAACAAAAAAAGGTTAATTTCTCCGTTGCAAGCCGTGCTATTTCAATAAACAAGTACTTCAAACTTAATTAAGTACACGATGTAAATAAAATTAATATTTATTTTGCGATAGTTTTATTTATACATAAACAAACACAATTAAACTACAATAGTTAAGACAGAAAGTGCAAATATACGAATCCATATAAATAAAACTAAAAGTTTCTCCAAGATTAACATATCTAAATGATTCAATGTAAAACTAGACTTAGCAACTAGATAGCTTTATATTTAATAGCAATATTGCCGGAAAAATGTTTCTATAATTAACATAATCTGTAGTGTAGATTAAATTAATAGTAAGAGACTATATGTATAATTATTTTTTATATTATGGTATGCCTATTAAGTAAATTATATTATATTAATCGTCCAATCCCATTTAGATGATATATAAACGACTATATATTAATATAGTTAATCCATGACTTATACTAAAGTGTACCTTTAAACTTATCATAACTATTAATGTCTATAATAGCCCCTAGACTTTAAATGTGATAAAAAGTAATGGACACAGATTTGAAATAACAAATGTTGACAACTCACCGGTTAGATGTCAAATTCGTTTCAGTAGGTAGGCTTTCTTCGAGAAGATGGCTGATCCTAAAATGTTCCACGGGAAAAACAATTCCCAAATCGCAAGTATGCTTATATACGACACTTGCGATTTGGTAATCACTTGTTGCGTTTCTAAAACACAATATAAAACAAACGACGAACACTAAAAAAATGTCGCGTTTAGTTGATGCGTGTATCGCAGCCTAAAAATTCATATCAATAAAATCGTATGCACTCTAGGAGTGCCTTGCCATACCACTTTTTTTTTTAAATAAATAAAATATGACCAACATTGCGTTCAAATTTTATTCACACTTATCGAAAGTGTGAATAAAATTTGAACGCTTTGTTTGTTGAATTGAAGTTTTGTTTCTGTGTTTAGTGTTATTGAAAAAATATATTTTAGGTAGAGTAACAAAAAGGATTTCTATATTTTTAAGCTTAAGGCGAATTTATTTTTGGCTGACGTGCTGCATCAGAATCGGGTCGGCCCAAAACATGTATGGATGCGTATACACTGATATTTTCTGTGCTGTCAATAACGATTTCGATGGTGTCAGAGTGGAGGAGCGAGGCCATAACATGTTTTATTTTATTTAATATGGCAGACTTGATTAACATTGTACGATAATAGGTATATTATTTTTGTCAGAAAATTTAAGCGTTATAAAGATGTGTCTATTATGACAGTTGTCATCCTGTTCAGGCTCTTCAAGAAGACAGTTAACACGCTATCAATTTACTCTTCCCATTTAAAAAAATATCTGAATCATAATTCGATGACTCGTTAGAGATTATTGAAAATAACAAACATTAAAATTTCGACACAAGACGTCACGTCAATCAAACTCAATTCTACCTTTAGCTAAAACAAAAAAAAACAGTTTAATTACCATAATTTAAGAAAGATCGATAATGTTGCCATCTCATAAAAGGTCCCAATAAAGTATTAGGACTGAAACATTGACTTCGTTTCTAAATAGAATCATCTGGTGCGTTTAAAACTGTTTTACAATAATAATTACTTTGTATCGTAATTTTATATTTAAATAATGTTTAAGTCAAAGAATTTCATCCGTTGCTAGTAAACTAAAATACAATGGGAAATTAAAACAAATTATAGTTTATGGTTCTTTTCAATGAAATTGAAAAATGTTATGATAAATATCAGGCAAATATTATTTATTTTCCTAATTTTGGAATCCAATTTCATTGTTGATCACATAAAACTGTATTGCAATTACAGATATCTTTGCAGTTATAATGCAATATGTTTAACAGTCTTCATTATTTTGTTAATATTAATAGATATACTAAAAACAATTGTATAAATATTATATATATTGTATTACACTTTAGTGTAACATATATGAACTATCCACAGCACTATCATTTACAATCTGTAATAATACCTGTATATCTTCTATACTAGATATATATTTTGGTGCACCTAAAAGTTCAATACAATCTTCATCTATCTGGATATTGTATTTTAGACTTTTAAGGCATGTTACTGATCTAACACATTTTCCATCTAATATTTTCTTAAATATAATTTCTGTGACCTCTTCATACTTAACTGTATGAGAAGTATCTGGTTCACTTTTCTGAGCCACAGCTGGTTCTGGTAGCTTTAACTCTGCATTTTTGGTAATATTATTTGTATCTTCTATTACAGGTTGAACAGTCGGTAAATGCTCTTCAACACCCTTTTGCAATGTTTCATCGAGTATTGATGGACTGTGAGGGTTCTGTATTTCATCTTCTTTTATACTTTTTTCTGTTTCAGTACTTGGTACAAAATCTACAACCTCCTCCTTTAATTTATTTACATCAGATTTATCTATTTCCATAGGTGTAGGTTTATTTTCACCTTTACCTAAGAGCATAGCTTCAACATCACTGGATTCCATATTAGGCTTGAATTCTAGTGAAGTTTGATCTTGTGATGGAGTATTTTCTGTAGTATTATCATTTAGAATGTCCATAATCGAGGGGAAGTCATCCCCTTTGCTTTCATTAGACATTGATGTGGTGTTTATTTTGTTATACATTAAGTCCTCTAATTCTGCAGCAATGCGATTATACATCTTGTCATCTTTGGGTTCCAAGTTTTTAGGAAAAAACTCTATACACCAATCTTCATTAGGTAATAAGTTCTTGTTTATAGAAGGGATTAAGTCAGCCAAAGACACTTTAATTTTAGTATCATGAGTACCATTTACTACAGGATTAAGAAATATAATGCCATAGTTCTTGTTCTCAGACTTATTTCTTTTTGTATTCGAGTATTCCTTTTGAGCTCCCAAATTCTTGTAATTATTGTTTTCTTTTAATATGTTTAATTTCTTTGGACTTGGCATTAGGGGATCTTTAATTATTTCACTTCTGCTTTTTTTTATCTCTTTAGATAAAGAATTAATGTTTTTCCTGTTCATTAGCACCATACCATTCTCATTACTTTTTAATCTTACATTTGAGTTTTGAATTGATGACTTTGAAACTTTAGGTGAGGAATTATTTTCATATTGGATTTTCACTTTAGTGAATTTACCTAGAATTTTGGCAAAGTCCATACGCGTTACTACAACAGAGCATTCACGACACCTTGCCTCTTCATATTGCCTTTCGATGTTTTTGGCTATTTTATTCTTCACTCGTCTTCCAACTCGAGATTTATACCCAAGCATATTCATATTCATTGTAGTCACTCTTGAAATTTAAGAAAATGTATAAGACTTTTGTGATGTGCTACGAACAGTGAATGCCACATTTCCCGCGCAAGCGATATCCATGCAAATAGTAGTTAATATATCGAACTTGAGATTTAAAAAGAAGAATAAAAGTTTTATAATATTAAATATATCTTTTAAATAATAAAAACAAAGCACTGTTTTGCAACAAACTATAGAAATTACAGAAACAACTCAATGCAGTCACTATCGAATCACTAAAAAATGGCGTCTCATCAACTGTCTAGTTTAGACTAGGGAAGTGAAGAGTGCAGGGTATCGAAAAATTTGACGTTTTATATAACTTAAAAAAATAATCGAAAATATTTTTATTTATTATATAATAATTTTGAATTTTGGAATCCATACTGCCTGCTTGTTTTTTAGATTATGTATAAATATGGAAAGAAATTGTAACTTCACGGAATTAAAAGATTTATTAACATAAGATTTTTTTGTTTTTCCTTGGTACGTTTATTAAGTTGTATTGTTTAATGTCACTGTCGATAACAATATTTACATACATATAGTGAAATAAATAATATTATTTTAGGTTCAAAATTCGGTCGTATGATTACGAATTTAAACAGTATTTTTATTTCTTATAAATTTATTGTATATATTTTTTTAGCTATCCTGTTATAGTTTAAAATTCTAAAATATGTATTTATGTGTTGTATTTAGTTTTCCATTGTTATGATTTATATAATTATCGATACTACATTAAAAACATCACTATCATTACTTGTCAATGCGAACCATTTTGACGGCGTCGTCCAAAACAACACCGAAACAAAATGGCCGCTAGCTTATTTTAGACATTATTATCTTATGTGCCTAAGATAAATGAAAATCAAAGAGGATTCATTTAAGCTTGACTCAAATTTTAATTATTTTTTATCAATACAATAAGATTATTGAGCAGACATGGCTTGGCAAATACCAGCTGCCGCTCAATGGAACCCCGCAGGTGTCCCTATGGCTCCTGATCCTTCTAATATGAACATGGGTTCGATCACACCAGATCAATGGACTCTGATGCAACAGCAAAACTGGCACCAATGGGCCCAATGGCAGCAACAATATGCCCAATGGCAGACTCAGTATGGAGAGAAGGTGGGTAATTTAGTTATCAGTAGTCCTTGCAAATATTATGGTATTATAAAAATTAATACCAGTTTATTTACCAATAAACATCTCATGTCGTTTAAATTGTATTGACACAATTTACCATATAATGAGTCTGTATTTAAAAGTTTTGTTATTAAAATGACAGGAATATAACAATAAACCACATCACACTATAGTCACCCACAATGAAAAGTGTAAGTCCTGTTTACCTACAATTGTGGCTCCTAAAAAATTATATGTACCTACATATTCCTTTTGTTATAAAATTACAGGTATGACTTATCAATATTTAAACTAAGTTAAATTATAACTAATTATTTTTTTAGTTTTCCAAGCAAATGATGCAGAATATGGGTGTGGCCCCGCAACCAAGTGCACCTCTTCCAGCACCACTACCCCCAGATAAGCCACCGCCACCTCCACCACCACATGAAAATGATCAACCTCTTTATGGGACCAAACCTCCTGCACCATCTATGCCAATGCAACCATATAGTGCAAATGCTGGTAATTCTACTTTGAATACAGGTAATAATCAAAATTGGTCACACAATGCAGATAATCTCAGGAATGATACAGTTCAGACTCCATCTACTATTAACAATGAGGCTTTGAAGAAGCTTGCAGAAGAAGAACATTTGTTTGATATTCAGTTTCAGAAGTGGGAGGAAGAAATCGAGAAGTGGAAAAAAGAGAATGTCAATCATCCTGATAAGAGAGCATATAGTGAATATGAACAAAAGTTTGAAGCATGCCGGGCTCAATTATTGGAGAGACGACAGCAGATGAACCTTAAAAGAGCTCAACTTTTGGGTAATGTTTCTAATACAGCAAGCACAGTCACTGCAGGTAATAATATTACTGCACCTATTCAAAATGCAAATTTAAAACCAAATAATCAACCTAACCAGATTTCTAAACCTCCTCAAAGTTATCAACATAACAACAATACTCGGCATGACTATAACAGGGGAAATAATAAAAATATGGAACCACAAGATAGATATGATTCATATGTAGCTAATGAAAGTTATACATCCCATGGAAGGAATCAAAACTATCCTCCAATAGAAAATCAAGATTATACTCAGGTAGGTGCAGCATCTTCATTCTTTCCTAATAATGAAGCACCTAAAGGAATTCCTGGATTAGACTTAGTCCCAGAAACTGAGAAGGCGCCAGAGCAAGTTGTTGTTGATATTACTGAGGAGCACAGAGAAGAGCAAGTAAAACCAAAAGCACCAGATTATTCAACAATTTCTCAAGGCATAAATAATATTCTGGGTGATGAGAAAATAATGAATATTCTATCTATGATGCAAAGTCGGAAACCTGGGGATAATTACCCTAATATTGGCCAAGAAAATGCTAGTGCTAATTTAAGTGGTCCACCGACAGATGCTTATCAGAATCAAAATGATTATTATGGCAGGAGTGAGTTTAATGGCACACAACAAGGTTCTGGGTATCAAAATAGACATCAGCAGGCCAGCAACTACGACAACAGATCACAGAAATATAACATTGATAATAGGTCAGATGACAGTGGTAGTTATGGTAATAGACCCACACCACATAACTTTGATAATAGACCCCCATCTAACAACTTCAGTATTAGGCCACCTCCGCTAATGAACTTTGCAACCAGACAACCACCCCACAACTTTGATACTAGTCAACCACCACCTAATTATGATAACATGCAAAATAATACATTCCATAATAGACCACAGAACAGTAATTATGATAAAACAAATCAACAAAATGCTAACTATCAAATAAAATCGAACTATCAAAATAATTCTCAAGATGCATATGAGCAAGGATATAATGAAAGCAATACACGGGTAAACTATGATCAGTATCAGGGTAATGTACCTCCAGAGCGTAGACAGGGTACTGTAAACAGACCAGCTCCAAGACCATTGCTAGAAATTAATCCACTTATGGACAATCAAATGCTTGGTTTTGATCAGAGACGTATACAGGCAAATGTGAATGCTCCTTTGCCCCAAAAACCGACATGGCCTGAGGAACCACTATTTACACCTTCAATTATAGTTGAATATGAGCACCAGTCCTTGAGATTGAAAGGTAATTGAAACGAAAGATGATATTACATTCTACAACTCAGTATCCAGTTATAACGATATTATGTCTAATTATTATTCCTATACCAATTCAACATTGCTCCCAAATTTTATGTTTCTCTTATTCATTTATAATTTTCAAAAATAAATACAATTTCTTTTCAGCTCGCGAATTTATTGAACCTGTACACACATTTGATTATGATCACAAGTCAAAGGATGAAGATATAAAGAGAAACTTTGAAAAGGAAGTTGAAGAATTATACACTAGAGAACCGCGAACTTCGGAAAAGGAGAACAGCCGTTTTAGTAGGGATTCTTATACAAGAGATTATGATAGACGTCCTTCCAAAAATGTTTATGATGACTACAGGCAGAGGCCACGAGACGACCCCTATCCTCATCGTGACGATAGAGCGAAAACAGATAACAGAATGGACGATAGAAGCCATGACGATAGAGACAGGACACATAGACGGGATGATTTTAGAGAGAGAGATGTAAACAGAGACAGGGATAGAGATTTTAGGCGAGATAGAGAAAGAGAAGATAATGACTTTGGCCGCGACAGAGGTTCGGGTCGAAGAGATGTAATTAGGGATCGAGATTTTGGACGGGAACGAGATTATGGTCGTGGTAGGGATAATGTGAGGGATAGAGTAAGGGATATTGACTCCAGTAGAGACAGAGATAGTGGGAGATATCCTGACAAACAGAGAGAAGCTGTACGTAGTCGCAGTCGTGATAGGGATGTTCGTAAGCGCGATCACAGCGTAGAGAGTGAGGCTAGCAATAGTTCAAAGAAGAGTAAATCTCTACCAGTTGCAATGCCACAACGGCAACCTCAAAAGCATGTTGTAATGATTGATGATTTGTTAGAGGAACCTGGCCGAAGTATGCGACCGCAGAAAATTGTCATTATCCTCAGGGGTAAGTTAAATTAATAAAGATTATTCTTAAACCTATAGACATATGAATAGATACATAATAAATGCTTTCATGAAGATGCGGTTTGACTCAACGAGGTGTGTTCAGTTTTAATGAGATTAAAAATAAAATTCTGTCGGTAGCAGAGTATTTGTTCATTTAGGCAGAAAATGGTAGTATTATATTATTCATATATTACTAATATTATGTTATTATTAATCACGATTTCTCAATTTCTCTTGAAACTTTTTGAATAATAAATGGTAACAACTTTTTTTTTTAGGCCCACCTGGTAGTGGAAAATCATATTTAGCTAAATTAATTAGAGATAAGGAAGCAGAACATGGTTCTACTGTAAGAATTATGTCCATTGATGATTATTTTATGCAAGAAGGTGAAATAGAAGAAAAAGACCCCACTACAGGAAAAACTGTGAGTAATAAATGGTTTAGGCTTAAAATCTCTGTTTGGCTAACCAATGATCTAAGGTCGTTCTACTGGCCCAAGAAGGTTGTAATTTTTTTTTTTATTAAGTAATATCCTAAAATCAGTACTGAAAAACAAAATGTTACGTACAGCTTTTGTCCATGGTCAAAGAGTTTCCAAATATTTCCATGAATCATTTTCTCTTCCTTCAAGTACATCTAATACTTGTCAGTAACATAATCTTTTATCATAAAGAAGTTCAATAATATTTATATATAAAAATACTTTCCAGGCGAAAAAACCCTCCTTAAAATACGAGTATGATGCTGCATCAGAAGAAACATACATAACATCATTAAAGCGAGCTTTCAAAAGGAGTATAACTGATGGATATTTCTCCTTTTTAATCTTTGACGCTGTGAATGATCAGCTGAAATGTTATGCGGATATGTGGAACTTTGGAAGGCAAAATGGATTCCAAGTAAGTGGGAACTATTAAATCTTCTTAAATGTTGAAACTAACAATCAAATTAAATATTGATGGAAAATCACTACTTAATCATTGCATAATTGTTGCAATTTAGCATTAGAGGTTGACGTTCTTTTACCCACTTATCTCAGACTCTATGGTTCTAATTTGGAAAGGATATTTATACACATAGATATATACATTGCAAGATAATTACTATTTAATTCCATAACTACTATTTGGCGATCATTTATAAATAATCAATTCTATCTCTATAAAGAAATTAGCTACTGTATACATATTTTACGTCTGGCTCTTTAAAAACAGCTAAATCTAGACCACCCGGTTTACAAACTAATATTATAAAAATAAAATTTTTAGAGTCGAATAAAACATAGCTAGTAATAGGTTCGTTCTTATTTAGGTATACATTTGCACGATGGACCTGGACCCGCAAACATGTCACAAGAGGAACATACACAATCGCTCGCTGGAGGACATAGAAAATATATGCGCTAGGTTCTTCCCGACTCCTGCGCACCATCTGCACTTGGACCCGACGACGCTTCTCCAAAGTGCCGCCATTACGGAAGTCACTATGGAGGATGCGGTTTCCATGGAGGATGTTCAAGAAACTGAGGTGAGATGTTATAGGTACAAGAACAATACAATATAAGACGCGACGAAGGGTATATTGTACAGGTTATATGCGAAAGTTGGAAAAAAGAACTGGGTAATGTATGCAAAGGTTGATTTTTTTTTATTTTCACTTTATTTTTTTTTTCTTGATCTATTATAAATTGTTAATTAATAACAATTATATTGACTTCACACAAGACTTGGCGAATATATTTAATTGTTAAAAATTTGTGGCAAATAACACTAAGTTGGGTTCCAGAAATTAAGTTAAGTGTATTCAAAATTTTATGTGAAACTTGGTAAAATTAGAAAAAGCTTGGGTCATGTAGGGTGGAACAGGTAGTTTTAGTTACTTGTTGTCTTTACATTGCAGCTCTAATATTTCGGGTGATGTGATTTCTTTACAAGAATTTCAGTCTAGTCTAGAAGTGTATTTTAGGATAGGGCTAATGTGTTCCATTTCAGCCGAGTAACTTATTATCAAGTGATGTCTCAGCAGGTCGAAAATAGTTTTACTTCGAAGTGGGAGAGAATGGACGATGTCAACCAACTAGGTAGGTTATTCGCTACGGACGTATTTTATCGTTAATTATAATTAGCCAATAGGACTTTAAGAATTGTTCTTCTCACAAATTGTGTTATGTACTTTATTATATCTCTTAAATGTCTGTAATGAACAATTGCCACTGTTGTTTGATGTATTGGTATTTAGTTTATATGTATTACAAGTTATTATGAGTTTAAAGCCTCTTGACTGAATATTTGGGCGACTTGTTTCAGCACGGCTCGACGGCACCAGCAAACCGCTTCGACCCAAGCTCTCAATGGAAGACTACTTGCAGCTAGACGAATGGACACCTAACAAAGCCAAACCGGGAAAGAAAACTGTAAGTGTAACCTTAATTAATCTGTATATATGTTAATTATTGAAAATTATCCGTTTTGGCTTATGTGTTACGCGATATGCAATAGATAATCAATTTTATTGCCGGTTTTATTTCTATCGGACAGCGGTAAAAAATGTGCACCATACAACTTATCTATAATTATTGGTAAGTTCATATGGTTCGCGTTGTTTAAGATTACTATTATTATTCGGTTAAGCGTAAATGCCGATTAATAAAATATTAAACTTTATCCACGCTGTGGATAAAGTGGTATTAAAAAAAATATTCTTACTCATTACTTTACTTACACATTAACTTTTAAGTTTTCGCTCGATTATGTTATTTACCAAGGTATAGTATTTGCGTTTTATATTCCAAGAATACAATTGTTTTTTTTTTTGATGTATGTACTTATAATCTGTAGAAGGGGTGGGGGGTTCCCCCTATTTTGTGATTGGGGTTTCATCGTTCTGTAATTGAAACAGGTACGCTGGGCGGACATTGAAGAGAGCAGAGAACAGGAAAAGATGCGCGCTATCGGTTTTGTTGTCGGTCAGACGGATTGGAATCGGATGACCGACCCCACTATGGGGTCTAGTGCGCTGACTAAAACTAAATATATTGAACGCGTTACTCGTAACTAATGGTTCGTGACGGTGGAAAAAAAATTATTGGGTCATAGGTATCCCCATCAGAGTTCTGACGTATTTGAAGGAATGGAGGGGAATACCTTCTTGACAAGTGGCAGTTATATTTGCTAAAATATTATCTAGGTTGCATAATAGATGTATGATGGTAATTTGTTTTCTAAGCAAAAAATCAATAACATTTTAATAGTATGACCTAACTACCCACACCAATGTGTATAGGGTTAGATTTAAGCTACGTCGTTGTGCAGAAATACTTTTTGCATTTGAGGAATTATGGTCCATATAGTTTATTCTCCCTGTGTCGCAAAAGATATATAATATCATATAAAGAATTATCTTTTAAAATATTGTTTGAAATTTAAAATAATTTGAAATGATACTACGCCAGGCTAAGGTTGAGAAGTTTTTATAAGAAACTGCTTATTGATACTCTTGTGTACTGATCACCCGTCCTACCACAGGTGTCCCCGAAAGAAAATAATAATAATATGATAGTCACACATTTTCCTTCTTACGTATTGTTCTCTGTATTGTGATAGCGTAAAAATAATGTTGCATTATTAAGTAATAAAGAAATAATACACAAGTGTTTGATCTTTATTTGACTCCATTGCGAATTTCGATAAGATTCCCTTATTTCTTATCATGTTCCGTCGTTGACGTATAACTGCTGCGTTTGTAAATATTTTTGAACTTATTGAATCCGGGTTCAGACGTCGGTATTTTCAGCAAATGTTTATCTTCGTCAAAAGCATCTTCAGTATGGATAGCATTGTCTTTTGCGTCGGCATCTAATTCACCCTTCGTGACACCGGTTTTATCCAATTTCACTCGCGTTTTCCCAATATTTTCGTTTCCCTCTTTTCCTGCGGACATTATGACGACGGGGGAGGTACCCATTGCCGTCATGTGATCTTTGATGCACTGTTGGAGTATGTGCAAGAAGAATAAAAATGCTAACAGCGTCAGAGCGGACATGGCAGCGTTACTTTTGTGTCCTCCCCCTCCATAATGACTGAAAACAAATACGTTCATTTTGTTAGTGATTAAAATGATATGAAACGTTCGGTGAATTAATTAAATAATTTGGCATCTCCTTATAATGTATTTTGGTGAGTAATAGATTAATGAACTCTTTGAGATCGCATAGTAACAAACTAAAACACACTGCTTTTGATTTGTGTTTTCTTAGATTATTTAATTACATGGACCCAACTTACTGTTTTGAAGGTGAAGAATACCCGTGTGATTGTGCTGGTTCATATGTGTAATAGAAATGCTGGTCGTGAGATACGGGATAATCAGCGTACCTGTTTGAAATCGGGTTCATGTTACTATCGATTAAACCGGATAGCCTTCACCAATTCTTATCATGATATACTTTTTTCTCGTCGGGTATTCCTTACTATTAAACTTTATTGTATTTTACTTTACTACCAATTATAGTGACATATTGATAGAAGTTTGTCGTTCCTACTTAAAAATTTCGGAGGACTTACCTGTTTTAATTGTAAAAAAAACTTACGTACCTACCTAATATACAGCAGTTTTGCTGCAAATTCTTAATTGCTAAGAATACTAAAGAATTTGCTTAAGGCGCTTATTGTAGGTCTGCAGCGTTAGCAGTTTATAATTATTTATTTGCATTACATTACAATTATTTATATATTGGAAAAAAATAAACTAACCTTTCTGCCATTTCTTTCGGCACCCCTGCCATATTATGCGATACAAAATTGTCCATCACGGCAAGTGCTTGCGACTCTACTAATGTCAAAGAAGAACTGAGAATTTTCTCATCTTCATGGCCCATACGCTCTGATTGTTTTGATCTGCTTCAGAAGTGACAACGTAGGTGCTTAACGGTAACATCACTTTGCACTCGGTGACATGTGAAATTGCTCTGGCAACGGCAGCCACATCTATACATATGAAATGCTTTTATACTGAGCGGCTGACTGATGGATCAACGCACAGCCTAGACCGTGGATTGCAAAGATGAGAAAAATTGAGGATGTGTTGTATGACATAGGCACAAGGCAGCTACGAAAGGATTTTCCAAAATTCTACACTAAGGAGTTGGAATAGTAGGCAATGTTATGTATTTGTGTATGTGACAGTGTTCTTCCTTGTTCCAAATCTTTTAAAAACAATTGTTTTTTAGAAGTCAATTAAGTAGAAATTACGGCAGACATATTTAGCGCAGATACAACCGCGTTTCAATTGTGTGTGAATAAAAGACAGACATATTTTAATTAAATTTATTTTACAATTACATTCACACAAGGACGTCCTCAATCACACGATCACAATAATATACACAATATCTATACTAAAACTATGAGGTGATATAAATGTCTCTTCATATCACACAATAACATCAGTCGTTAAATAATTACAAAAAAGAAACTGGCGTATTTACGATGCATAAATTCTCTACCAATTTCATTGTATTCATTCTAATGGACGGAAGCTTTCACTGGGTTACATTTTTGTGGAGTTTAAAAATGCTTAAGTCTAGAAATAAATTAAATAAATAATTTAAATAAATTATGAGAACTCTTCTTATCCACTACGATGGGTTCTTAGATAAGCTCCTAGCACTGCACAGCGTGCATTTTTACAGTAGGTACGTTTTTAATTTTTAGATTATTTTGAATTGTCGTTAAATATTAGTCAATCTACAGATTTGATTTCAATAGTATCGAATTTGGTGGTGTCTTAAGATTATTATTGATTTGGTTACACTTCATTGCATTGAAGATACAGCTCACGGCAGTCGACGCCGGAGCGGCCACGGCGTCCAGCCTCGTGGAATTGTTGGAATGTTCCTCCGGATTGCCTCTCTAAAACGAAACTTGCGGCGTAACTGAAAAACAAATGGTCTCGATTATTTCACCGAGCACATCCGAAACCTTAGCAACAAATCACTGCTGGGAGATTAAAAAGTACATACGTTCCCAGTTGGCAGAAGACACTCTTAGGTCCAATATCGGCTGAACATTCGCTATTGGCGTCACACACGTACTTCTGAAGACATTTGTCATCGTTTGTCCCAAAGGATCGGACGTAGGTCTTCATCATGGCAATACCTGCGAGGGCTGCGTCACTGACTGAATCCTTGCGTCCCATCGAACGAGCCGTCAAAGATCGGTGAGAGAATGACGTTTTGAGAGCATCCAGAAGGTTGACAAAGATGTTGATGAACTGGGTAACAGAAAACGTTATCAAAACACGAGTAACTATTAACATCAAGTAATGAGTGCTCGTATCATTCAGCAATATATGTTAGTCTACATGATGTTTGGAGTTATAATGAGGGTAGGAAGGGAAGGTAGCCTACCTCTCCAGCCTGCTTTGCCATGGAGGCGACTTGGTCGGGATCTTTGGCACCGAGCACCGTCGACAGAACCGCAGCCAATATACTCTGAAGCAAGCGAGAAGCGACACCATATCCATAACCAAACTTTACTATTTACATTCAAATATTTGACCGATCTCGAAGCTTAACTCGCCTTTGAGATAGCTCCAAGTGCGACGGGATTACGTTTTAGAACTATGACTGGAGATTTACGACTTAGGTGAGGAATAACTAGGTGCTTTACAATAATCGAATGCCAGTACGTAGTAGCTGAAGTATAAAAAAAATGCGTATCTACATCGATGTTAGTGGATCAGTATGGTAAATAAGACGTGTTGTTGAATGCTCCGTTTGTATAAGAATTTGAGAATTGCTCTGTTTGATTCGTGTGGTCATGCGTCCATGTATGACAGTCAATTAATTACCTGCATTGGCGAGTTGCCGTTGTCTACTTTGTCAATGCCATCGCTGGATGCCCCTCCTCCGAGGATAGCTGTTAAAATTTTCAAGCCCATAGATAATAGATTAGCCCATGGCGATGGGGCGGCGGCTTCTGTGTCGATGTTGTCGCTCTTATTGGGTCCGGTGGTGCCAGGATTGAAAAGCATTTGCATTACCATTCCTGAAACGTTTGCGTTCTTGTTAATACTACATTCAATGTTTCTTCATCCCGCGCAACTTCTTTCACTCTTACGTTTTAACCTACCTAACATGTTGGACCACGAGAAACCGCCATCTGAAATGGAATTGTTTTGAATTTCATCGATGTCATCTAGGGCCACTTTCTTTAGGGCATTGGGTTTCTCAGCAAACTTGCGCTCTTGTGCTACTTGTTCATGTGGCAGAGGTAACGAGTTGCTGTAGTATTGTGGGTTCTGTGTTCGCACGTGGCTCGTGGCCTGGAATTTAGAAATTACCGTTGTCAAAAATAAATATTACGCAGTCTATAAATATGTGTGGATCTACCTGGACTGTAAAATAAAAAAAAATACCTGTGATATCAAAGGTGCATGCTGAGGGTATGCTAATGTGTGAAGAACTGCCGACGAGCTGATAAGGGCCAGAAGCGCCCACCCTGCTACTTTTTGATGCATGCTGTAAAGAGACGGTAAGTTTTAAAAATAAACAACAGCAAACTTTGTAAGCGTACGCAATAATTAATCTAACTTTTCTCGGAGCGAGCTCTTGCGACGGCGGCCGATTAGAAAGTGTTCTGATGTGTGATTTGCGCAGATTGATTGCCTGTGTTTGGCTCTGCTCGTAGAAAGTTGCTCGCGTCGCGTACGTTTTACGAGGATGTCGAGACTAATTAGAGGATGTTACTTCAATTAAAATAATTACTCGAAGTCTATTATCCGAGTACGACAGGAGACGATATTTTCGAAGTGAAAAAGTTTTCTATGTCCACAAAACATTTTTGTTTCTTGCGTATTAAAATATATATATAAGTTATTAAAATATTATTAGCAAAAGGTTTTTTAAAGCGACGACGGTTAGTTAAACGTTTTTAACGCTAGCTATTAAGGTATGTTACGACGTTGTAAATTAAGAATCTTGCTTTCTTTTGGAAGTGGCACGAAAGTGCATATCGATTATATCTATATTTACGTGGTGCGGAACTCTCGTCTATCCGGTATGGAAGTGTGTTAGCGGTCTGACCGACAATATCAAATACAGGTGACCCGGTCTTCTCTAACTGTAGTTTGGATGTCACCTATCGCACCTGCCTTAATAAGGTGTTACTTGTATGAATTGAAACGGTATACTGCGTTCGTAGTATAGCCATCGGTGTTACACATATTAACTCCCCTTATAACTAGAAAATATAGCAGTTTGCTAATAAAAAAGATTTTAAACTGGATTTGCTTTTATCTTTTGAAAGTCGTCGATCATTGTTTAAAATAAACAATGACGTTGACTTGTTAAGTAAAATTTAGTGTTAACTGAAGTGTTATTAAGTAACATTATCGTATAATAGAATAATTAAAATAAATATGGTGTAATACCCTATTCTATTGGAGTATGTATTTACGAGTTTTATATCAAACGCGTCGGTCGCGTTTTACCGGTTCTTCGGTGTTTCGAGATTCTCGCGGGAGAAATTTGCAGTCACAAGACATTACGCTTATGTTTTATGTATGCCTACATGACTAACCTAAGAGGCGGTTATTTCTGAAATGGCCGTCTTGTATTATTATGCTTTCCCGAATGTACAATGCGTCGTTTCTCATACACGTCGCCGGTAAACGTGTGAAGAGCTCGGTCAGAGAAAGCAGGAAATTGCGTTGGAAAATCCGAACTCTATATATTTTCACATTAATTGCATTTTCTTAAACGTATTCTGACTACACAAATGTCTATCGATGCTTAATCGATTTTTTACACCGCGGAATGTTTTCTAAAGAAAGTGACATCGCTATGGTCGGACTGCTGTGCCGTCGACTTGACCCAGTAACCTTGCGCCGGCGCACGTTCGAGCCTATGATTAGGGCGGGTTTTACTTTCGGCAATTCACCTGTTTTGTCTTTACACTTGTTGGAAAAAATACCAGTGTTAACCGCTTGTAAAAATGTTACTGTCTCTTAATTCTCATTTATATTACCTTTAGTGTCTATTTGGACTCCTAGCTGATTGCTTAGAAATAAATTTATTACATTAAACCTACATATTATAATATGTAAACTACATATAAATTGCTTAAATGTTTGCATGCAACACGAGAAATTAAAAAATACATTCAAGTAAACTTCAGTCAATATCTTTTGCATGTTTATATGTATATTTAATTAAGTTGTGGTCTGTGCATAGTTGGGCGAGATATACATGGCAATAGGAGAAAGCAATAATTGACGCGTGTACTACGACAAGGTTAACGTTTTTCTAATTTTGGATCGAAGGCTTAACCTGCTATAGCCGCCAACTACATAACTTTCAAACGGAAACTCGTCGTGGAAAAGTGATAATTTTTACCCTCCCTGCAATATTGCGATGCCTCGTAGAGATTTTAAGTTTTCAATGGCCTTGAATATTTTTTCTTTTAGAAAAGAAACATATAGCATTATGTCTACACTGGAGACACAATATGTATAAAAGCTCCGTTTCGCTTATTGTATTGATAAAAATAATGTTATTTTAGTGTTTATAATAAACAGCCAGTTTAAGGGAAGATGAAGTATTTTTAAACCGCAATTTTAGACACATGAATTTTAATAAATTGTTACGTAATTCTTTGTGGACTTATGTGTATAGAATTATATAAACGCCATTCGTTACATAACTTTTGTATAAGTAAAACGTTTTATTTTTATTTTTGCTTGTTCGATGACTAGTCCGGCAACGACGCCCGCTTTCTAAAACCCCGCTTGTCTCTTGTGCGTGTTCCGCACGCGGATGTTAACATGCCTTGTTAAATAATCAAATATTCATTGCAATTCAGTATTCATCATTTCATATTAATTATGGTCTGAACGTTGGCAACCCTATATTCGAACTGAACATTTATTGCAATGTGTTAATTGTGTATACTATGTAATTAAACAAAATGGCGCTGTTTTATTTATAACCTGTGGTCTGTTAAGTCTTTTATTTGTTCCGTTAAAATTAATTAAAAAGCGAATAGCATAGATTTGCACTATTAGTTATACAAACACGCTACGAATACCACTGAATGTTCCACAAACGCAACGCTATGCGTGCATTTCTCAAACCGTTATATTGCTCTAATGTTCTCGATTTAAAATTAACTGTTAATCGAGATGAGCGTGTTGTATCGATCTTTTAATCGACTACCGTTTGCATTTTGTACGAGTTATATTAAACAAACTGCGAATTATGCGGGACCAGAATTTCGTACACGTGCGTAGCGATGTTGCGTGTGACTCGAATTCATGCTTCACGTTTGTCTTCATTTCCTATTTACGAATACGTTAAAAACAGTATTGAGTTCAAGTATGGGTGAATATGCATTTACGTCCTGCTTTCTTGGAAATACGGGAAATTATCTCTTCTTCACACAAATAGAAGTAAGTGTATGCAGAAGAAGCTAATACATCTATTGGGGTTTAACTGTGTTGGTCCAAGTATTATAACGATTTCTTTTTTATAAGTACTTAGACTCCTCAATTAAAAAAAATATTGTGTTCTTCATTCTTATTGGATTTCATCAAATCTCGTTTTATTTAAAGGAGATTTCGAATAAAAAGATAATAGTCAATCAACTATTCTAATAAATAGCTCAACCTCAAAGGTTGTCCAACTTTCTCGACAGATCATAATAAGAGATCGTGAACTCGTTATGGTTTTTTCATACAGGATGCAAGTGAATAACCTATAATTTTTGTTCGAAAGGTGTTTGTTACTCAACAACGTTGGCCGGTGAATGACTGGTCCTCTCACAACGTCAAAACTTTCACTCGAAGTTTTTTGGGTATTAATAAAACGACTGGAAATAATCCGTCTTCGAGACGTTCATAACGTAAGCACGAGATAAGATTGTCCTCGGATGATTTATGAATTCCGATAAATTGGGAAGAATTGATTGTAACACAGAGGAGGGTAGGCTCCTTCGGAATTTAAAAATCGAATTTTGAAGCCACAGACATTATTCATTACGCAAGTATTTCGTAATTGTTTGTTGTTTGAAGTGTGTAATTTGTATGTTGCCAGTACTAGAAATTGCGAGTTGTTACACGCGAGTGTATTGACCATTCCGTCACGACTTTCTTCGGCACTGTGAAGACGTTAGATGACTTTTAATAACGTGTTAATAACACTTTGTATTGTTGCATAAGTTTCATTTTAATGTCAGAAACTATCTACCAGAAAATTAAATACGTCACACATATTTAGTACACTTATTTGATGCGAAACGAGGGTTCTTTGAGCGTTTGGTTAAGTTCAATGAATTTTCCCTTGAACTTGAATTAATTATTTTCATAAAGAAAATGTTAGTTCCGCTCCATTTACGGATTAGAGTAATTACAAGCGTTAACCGTTAAGTTTGTAAAACTAACCGCGATATTATACCGATATGGATTATGACGATTTGCTCCGTTGTCTATTTATGGCGGAAAAAAGCTTACTTGTGGAGCAAACGTTTTGTAAACCATAGATAACGTAGAAAACTTAACACTTTAAAAACTGTTTTAATTATCATTTTTTCTGTATATATAAATTGTTCTTTCTCGTTGGACAAAACTTCCGAACGTGTGTTTGCCGTTCTCTAATATTGGCATTTTATAGTTTTATTTCCAAATGAAATTAAAATAAGCATTATCAATTCTTGACCATGTCATGTTCTTTGTGAAAAATCCTATTTAACGTTCGAATTAAGAAAATTTAAGAAACCATTATTGTCTTCGCGTGAATATGCAAGACGACGCATATATTTTGACAGAAATCCTTTGTTGGACCGAGACCTAGTCAAATTCAGGGTTCCATTGCGTTTTCACATTTTAGAAAGTGAAGGTTTTCATTTACATGTGAGTATAAGACGAGACGAGCTGAACGAATGTTGATGGCATATTAATAGCTGTTGAAGATTCGTGACAATGTCGTTTTTTAATGATCTATTCAATATTACGTAGCGTGTTATGAGGTCTATGACAATTGACAGTTAAATAACCATAAAGTTACCCATACTATAAAATTAGCATTCGAACTTTAAATAAATGTAAAATGAGGTTTACTACCCAATTAAGGATTTCTTTTATTAAACCAACAACTGGCACTAAAGATATGCAAAAAAAATCTAAAACTTTTTGTTGCTTGCTGTTATAAATATATAATACTCGATGTTGAAGTTTACTAAAGTCTTTGACTATTATGTATATTGAAAGATGCGTCTATTATTTATTTGAAAAGAGTGCAAAAGCTTTTATCAGGTTACGTAAAGATGTCTTATTAACTTTCATTGAACCAGCTTTGTGAGCTTTCACTTATAATGTGACCAATCTTGATAATTACTTGGTTCTCTCCCGAGTGTTCTCATTTTATGGGTTTACACATTGCAGAATGCCTCAGGTCATATCAAAATAACTAGTATTTTCTATGATATTGTGATTCAAGTAATATTGTATATGCTGTAAATATTACT